AGCTGCCATGTGAGTGCTGGGAATTGAACCCTGGTCTTCTGCAAAAGTAGCCAGTGCTTTTAACCACCGAGTCATCTCCTCAGCTCCCTGTTCCACTTTCTAAAGTTTCATTTCTTTCTTTACTACTGACAGCTCAGTGCCTTTAGTCACCTACCTCAGGATGGCTATCCCTGAACTAGCCATTGTCTGTTCTTTGGAGGTTTGGGGACTCAGTGTGTGGTTGTTGTCTGCCATCTTCTCTGTTTATGCTCATTCTCAGCTTGTCCTTCCTAGTTTTCACTTCTTACCCTGGCTCTTTGAGAGCCAGATACTTTGTTGTGGTTTATTTTGGGTTTTTTTTTTTGTTGTTTTTTTCCATTTAATATTTTAATTTTTTCCTTTTTTTATTTTCCTAATTATTTATTTAATAATTAGTCAAAGCATTTCATTACAACAGCATTGACATAGTCAATAACAGTTTCCAGAGCAAAGATGCATCTCTTTCAAAATAGGGTATAAATTTTTAGGTTCACAGATGAATTAATATAGCTATACAATATTGTACTCAGTATAAAACTTATAAGACATAGAATTAAATGAGGTTTTAACCTTTAAAAAAGACCTCCATTTGATTTTAAAATATACTGTTTCTTACAGAAAGACTCATTGTTTTTGCTACTAACACTGAGAGGTTGGCGCAAACGTCTCTAACATGTATGTATCCGATTATTACTAGTCATAATCAGTTGCACTTGGATCCTTGGCACCTGTGTATGTCTATAAAGTCATCGGGTAGATTCAGTGGTAATGTTTATCACCTCTACTAATTAACATGATGTAATTTTTATGCTTCTGCCTCAAATATAATACATTTCTAAAATTTGTTGATTTTTTTTGTGTGTGTGTGCGTGTGTGTGTATCACATAGAACATCCCAAACATCTCATTCGACTATACACCCACTTCCCAGATAGCACCCTCCCATAGCCTCCCTCCCCAACTAGAGCCCTTATACTCTGATACCCCGGCTGCTGTCCGCCGTGTTGTCAGCACCCCCAGCCATTCCCCACTACTTGTCCATCTGGTGAATCTAGTCAGCCTATCTAGAGGTCTTTGTTTTAGGA